GGTTGTGGGGAGAAAGGAACCCTTCTCTATGGCTGGTGGAAGTGCAGACTGGTGCAACCACTGTGGAAATCTATATGGAGATACCTCAAAGAACTAGGATTAGAGGTTCCATTTGACCCAGCTATCCCTCTGCTGGGTATCTTCCCAAAAGAATTATGTCACAGTGATATATGTGCACCCATGTTTATAGCAGCACAGTTCGTAATAGCTAAAACTTGGCAACAGCCCAACTGCCCATCAACTGGAGACTAAAGATTTTAAAAAATAAAATGCAGTACTACTCAGCCATAAAAAAAGAAACTAGAGACATTTATAGCTATATGGATGCACATTGAGGCCATACTCTTAAGTGAAATAAATAGGACACATGTGTAAATACCAAATAGTTTCTCTGGTGTGAGAAACAAAGTGTAAATAAGGATAAAAATGTATAATCGATAATGTGAAATAGGAAGAAAAGTTCTAAAGAGGTAGGGGAAGTAGGAGGGGTAGGGGAAAGGAAAAAATACGAGAAAAGGAAAAAACGGAAACAGAGTCTCTGTAAACAGAGAAGGATAGAGGGGGTAAAGGGAGGGCAGGGAAATGGGAAAAATAAGAACCAAGATACATCATGTAAAGGTACAAGATCCCAATGATGAATGTAACTCTACTGTATACCTACAATGTACCAATAAACTTGATGGAAAAAAATCCTGAGCTGTTAAGTAAATAAATCCTGAGCTAATAAGGATATATTCTGAGCTAATAAATAAATTTAAACATCCTGAGCTTCAGCTGCTCTGCAGTTGACTGTGTTAAGCTGACCAACCTCAGCTCACAGTAGCTAAATTCAACGCAAGCACCAAGAACCTGGGTACTGAGTCCTGAGCCAGGTCCCCTTCCTCCAGGGACCCTAGTCTTACCACTGAACAAGGTCCCCAGCCCATGGCAAGAGAAGCCCCTGTGCCCCAGGGCCCAGCCCTGATGGGCTTGCATCCTGTGATCATCGGCCTCCTAGGCAGAAGCCACTCGAGTTCCTACAACTATGGATGATGCCTCCCTCTCCAGGGAGTCCCTGAGCGGGGACTCCCGCTCTGTCAAGGAGGAGGTGGCTGTTGTCCACCAACAGTGGTCATCAAGAGTGAAAGCCAGCGTCCCTGGGCACAGCCCACATGCGAGGAAGGGTGCCGGCTGCTTCCCACGCCACTCAACCTGCACAACTGCCCCTCGGCCTTCACCCGAAGTGATGGTCATCTTTTAAAAACATGCACTGACAGCCAGCTGGGCGTGGTGGCGCACACCTGTGAGGCCAGCACTCTGGGAGGCTGAGGCAGGATCGCAAGTTCGAGTTTAGCCAGGGGACTTAGTGACTTTGTGTTTTAGTTACTCTTCTCTGGTTGCTGAGACAAAATACCTGACACCCAAAGTTAAAGGGAATAGGTCTGTTTAGCTGACAGTTTATAGAAGCTGCCATCTATAATCAGCCGGCTCCAAGGCAGGGAGGCACATGGCAGAGGAGAAACAGTTCATGGCGCCTACATGGTAGCAAAAGCAGCAAGGGACCTTAACAGCGACTTCCTGCCCCTTTTATCTTATCCAGACTACAGGGATTAGGTCAGGGCCAAACCAGTCAGTGGACTGGTGTAGTAATCCCTTCGTCGGTCACACACACGTGATCCAGCCACCTCTGAAAAAGCCCCACCTATGACTGCACCAGGCTTTGGGGGGACAGCTAGCACAGGCCACAACACTTGGTGAGATGCTCTTTTAAAATAAAATCAAAAGGGCTGGGAACGTAGCTCAGTGTGAAGGTCTGGAGTTCAGTCCCCAGTACTGCAGAAAAATAACAATAACCACAAGACACACACACACACACACACACACACACACACACACGCACACTGATGACAATATTTGCTTGTTTAAAAATAACAGAAACAAGAAAATCAATCAAAACCCCTTCTTAGCTTTCCAGGATCATGTAGACAAAGACTACATTTCTTTTAGAGACAGCTTGGATCACAGGTGTCCAACTTCCAGCTCACCTGGGCTGCCCTGAGTGAGGAGCCCATATAAAATAAATAACACAGGGCCGGGGATTTAGCTCAGTGGCACCATGCCTGCCTCGCAAGCACAAGGTCCCAACTTCGATCCTCAGTAACCCCAAAAGGAAACAAAGAAAACAGCACAGGCTCCATGACAAGCCGGGCCCCTCCTCACAGGCACATGTGTGCAGGTAGCCAGGAGTGCCACTGCTGGTCATGGCTATGTTTATTCCCCAGGTCCAGTGAGAGCCCACACACTTGGCACATGCAGCCCGACTGAGACAGCCCCTCCTGCCTCTGCAGCCATGAGAGGCGAGTCCTGCCTGCCCTGGCCGCCGAGGAGAAACTGAGGCTCAGAGAACTTAGGTAACTTCTTCTCGGTCACGCCGTCAATAAGTGGGAGGGGTGGGATTTGAATCTGTGTCTATATGATTTCAAAAGCCTCGATCGTAAGTGGTGTTTTACCACATACCTATCAAAGCAGCTGCTGGGTGGTCTGGGTCCCTAACCAGCTGAGCCCTGATACTTGGCAGGGCTCGGGGTTAGGCCTCACTTGTGCTCTGGGATGAGGTGCCCTGCAGCACCTGGCCTGCCTGCCTCCTAGAGGTCCCAAGGATGCCTGGGCATGGCCACCCAGGGCAGGGGTGTGGGCAGCCCAGCACTGCAAGACTCCATTGTGCAAAACTGCCCCCAACCCAAAGCATAAAGCCTGCTGAAGTTAGGGCACCTTGCATGGAAGGGGCTCTTCATTTCAAGTTTCTGCCTGAGAGTTCTCCAGCCTTCCAGAGGGTGGATAAAGCTTCCTGCCCCTGGCTGTGCCACACACAGTGTCCCAGAGGAGTAGGTATTTATGCTTAGTCCTGCATGTATAGAGCCAGGTTGCAAAATATGAAGTAAAAGTGTTCTAGGCAGAGGGGAGAACATGTGCAAAGGCCCTGGGGCATAGCCAGAAGGGGCAACCTGACTGATAAGCAAAGGAGTCTGGTGAAAAGCAAGGTTGCAGAGAAGGAGAGAACAGGGAGGGAGCTGGCCAGGGGCAGGAGCTTGGGTTTTATCCCAGCATTTTAAGGAGGGAATCTTGTGATCTGATCACACAATGAGAGGCTCTCTCCAGCTGCGGAGCAAGGATGGTGGCAGTGCGGCAGAGGGCTTGCACAGTGAGAGGAAGGAACTGAGGCCAGGGCTATGCTGGAGGGAGAATGCTGGGGTCAGCTGGGTGATTAAATGAAGAATGGGGAGAAGACCAATGTCCAGGGAGGCTCCTGGAGTTAGTAACGGAAGCCTGGGAAGGAGATGTCTGGAGCAGAAGCTTAGGGGGCCGTTTCCAGGCAGCCAGGAGGGAGCCCAGGAGGACCCGGGCAGAACCGGGGGTGGAGACAGGTTATGGCATCGAGCGGGCATTTGGTGCCTGACCTGTGAAGTACCAGTGGGGACTGGCCAGCAACACCACTGTCCTCATACTGTGTGGCACCACAGACAAGGCAGAGGCTTCCAGAAGCTGGGAGAGGACAGAAGCCACAGCCTGGTGTGTCAAAGCCTCGCCAACCCAGGCTGGCTTGAGGCCCCTGACACTGCCTGCATCCCCCCTCCTGGCGTCAGAGGGTGGTGATCCCTGCCTGTCTGTGCAGTGCCTGGAACCCACAGATGCCCCGGGACAGCCCCGGTCCCTGGGCTGGACAGGAACCAGGACCTCCCTCTGCTCCTCCATGACCTCCTGGGTGAGTCGTAGGCCAGCCAGCGAGGAGTGGGACCCCAGGTGGGACTCTGGGGAAGGTCCCAGCCTGACTTAGATTCCAGCCTGAGCCCCAGCGAAGACTCACACTTCCCCCTCAACCAGCAGCTCCCAGCACCCAGCTGGCTTCCAAAGGGGTGAAGCCAGGGAGGCCAGGAATATACCGGATCCTCACGATTCACTTAGATAATCCCTTTCCTGGGAAGGGCCCTGGCTGGCAGCCAAGACTGTCCTGAGAGGACAGCACAGAGGCCAAGTTGGCAGCACACACCACACAGCCCCAAGCCCAGGAGCTGTGAGTCTGGCTGCTCTAACAGTGCACAAACCCCGGTATGTCCATGAGCGTTGAACTGGGATGCTTCTATGTGAGGGCTGGACAGAGTCTGGCGCATCTGCCTTCTAACTGGGGGGCAGCACCAGGCCCTGCGGAGTTAGAAATAGCAGGGAAGGTCTCCAGAGGGTGCCCCACACTGCCCTGCCCCTGCCGGACCCGGAGCAGATGGGAAGGACAGGCTGTGTGTCCCTCCCCGGACTCAGGGGCCACACACTGAAGATCAAAGTGACAGCGAGGCTCCCACCTTGCCCCGAGTCCAGGAAGTCGCTGTTCAGCGGAAACACCGGCCGGCTGCACCTGACAGCTTTGGCTGCTGCTCTGCACGAGCCCAGCGTCCACGAAGGCAGCGCGATAGGGGTGGAGAGGTTGGACACGGGACCAACCAGGGAGCTGCACCCCCTTTCCTATCCGGAGCACCTCCCTTTGCCCACAGGTCCGGTTATGGTGGGGCCAGGCTGGAGCTTCAAGGAGTGACGGGTACAGGGAGGCTTATTTAGCACACAATTGGAGCTGCGCATACATCCTGCGTCGCAGGATGAGATGCGGACGCGTATATTCTTTGGACTTGATATTTATAGCAAGTATCAACAGCGTTATTACTGCCGAATCAGGGGCTCCGTCCGACCAAGAGGGAGGCAACGCGGAGAGCCCACGAGAGAGAGAGGAGTTTTTATGCCAAAGAGAACAAAGTGAAGCGCCCACTTTGAACGCTGCTGCTAGAAAGCAGGGGAGCGAAGAGCAGAAAATTGAAACGATCAGGAAAAGGGTCCAGCGGCCAAGACAGAAGTCCCTGCGGACCAGACCAGTGGCAGAGACTCCGTGGGATGGGCGGGACTCGGGGCAGAGGAGAGCAGGAAGGGGAGGAGGAGGAGAGCAGGAGGAAAGGGGAGGGAACTGGGAGGGAGGAGGAGAGGGTGCCCGTGGTGGCGGCCGCCTTTGTGCTGAATTTCTTCTCTGTTATGCCTCCTTTGAGGAGTGACCTTTGCATCCGGGGATCTGCTCAGTAATCCCTCCCTCGGGCCATGGACTCCAGAGACAGACGGGCTGGACGTCAGCCTGGGCTTCCGTCCTGCTGTCCGCACAGATGCCCCAGGCAGGCCCCAGCCTGTCTTGTTATTAACACGAGTGTGTCTGAGGCCAGGAGGATTCTGAGGGGATTCACGGCAAAGTGTCGTTTACTGTAGTAAGTTTTTAAAAAATTTTTAAATATTCACCATGTATTTTGATCGCCCTGTGAAGCAAAAATACCCCGCACTTCTATACCAACGACTTAATATGAAGTTAGGAGTCCTGGGAGATCCACGTTGGCTCTGTATAAAGGCAAATCTGTTTATGCTGCCATTGCAGCTCCCCAGGCCAAGCCCAGGACATGGAGGTTCAGGCCACACAGCCAGGGCAGGGCAGAGCTGGGCCAGTCCGTCCACCTCCACTCCTCTCTGGAGTAAGGGAGGCGAGATTAATAAAAGGAAAGGCAGCACTCTGGCCTCATCCCAGTCTGCCGCTGGGGCGGTGTCCCCAGGGTTCTGGTGTACGCTGGTGGAGGCAGGGGTCAGCCTGTGACATGGTGTCCCCACGTCCTTCCACCCGAGAGTCCGTGGGCTCCTGCCATCCCTGTCTCAGGAGTGCCCAGTGGGGACAGGGCAGGGGACAGGAAGGTGGTACTGGGGAGACAGAGGGGCTAGGGAGCTCAAGGGGACCCAGGTGTGAGTGAGACTCAGAAAGCTGTCCCCCTGCCCCAGCTCACCCAAGCCAGGCTGCAGCCAAGGCCCCACCATCAGAGAAGGAGCCGGCCGGCCAGCACTGGCGTCTCTAGCTCCTGGACTGAGATTAGTGGGAGAATACATTTCTGTTTTCTCAGCTGCTCAGTTTGTGGTCCTTTCTTAGAGGACTACCCTAAACACAAAGAAACACAGCGTTGCTGGCATCCCATTTGATTCTTTGTTTACTTCGCAGAAGAAGAAGAAAAGGCGGCCAAGATGGCCTTCCAAAGGCTCCGTCCCACGTTACCCATGAATCCACAGCGAGACAGTGCAGCGGCAAAGGCCATGAGCTCTGGAGCCACAAAAGCCAGGGCTCACAGCCTAGTGCCCCGCTTTCCTGCTGTGAACCTTGCAACAGTGACTAAGCCCCTCTGGATTCAAGTTTCCACATCAAAAACAGGGATGGTAATCGTGTGAGGGACCAGCATATGCATTACTAAGTGATGTGTGCAGAAATACAAGGTGTGGTGCGGTTTCCCTCTGCCAGGCCCTTCGGCTACACTGTTATCCCTGAAACTTCTCAACTGCGAGTCCAAAGAACCGCCCCCTCCTTAAGTCACTAGTGCCGAGTGCCACATCTTGGCAATGAGAAAGTAACTAAGGCAACAGGTCAAGGACAGAGCCCCGCTGCTTACACTTTGACTCAGGCTCCTGCTCTCCAGAACTATGAAGCAATAAAACTGTGCAAGCCAGCAGCTGTGGGACACTTGGTGGCCCACGCAGATGTGGACACTTGGTGGCCGGACAGAGGGCATGTGCCAATGTCAGGCGGCTCCGGGAGGGGAGGAAGGGAGAAGACAGGCAGAGCGTGAGTCGTCCTTCTGTCCCCAGAAAGAGGCTGGCTGAGACGGACAGGCGCAGAGCGCCTATAAGGCAGTAATTAACAGTCGCAGGCTTGTCCCCTCATCCGATGCTTTGGGGCATTGTACGAGTCTCCATTTTGCTGACTTTGGAGAAAAGAATGGCGATAAATAAATGTAAAGCACACTGGTGATGGTGTGAAATGATGCTTCATCTAATTATCGCTATTCCGCGGTGTCATTAACATACACTCGTGGAGAATGGTAATGACTTTTGCATTTATATCACAGCTCGGATTTGCTGTCTTAAACCCACAGCGCAGGAACCCTGGGACGGAATCTCTTACAGACAAACGAGAGGAATGCACGACCAGGTACGAGGAAATGGCTCACTGGTGCCGAACTGAAAAGAGTACAGTAATAGCAGATGGCCCCTCCACCCCCTGGGCAACCAGGGACCACCTGGAAGGTCAGGGACTGAGAGGTGACTTGGATGGCACCGGGGTGGGACTGGAGACTCTTCCTCCACCATGATCCCCTTGTTTGCCTGGTGAGGGTCACAGCCTGGTGAATGTGGCTCTCTCTCTCCCTCTCTCTCTCTGTCTCTCTCTCTCTCTCTCATCTTCAAAGCCTAGGGCATCCCTGGGACTGGCATTTCTGGAACCAAGCGATGGGTGGGACTGGACCGATGCTGGGACACTCCTGTGGCTCCTTTCCACCAGGTTCCTACGATTCGTTTCTCTCTCCTGTCAAACTGGAATAGAACTGAAAACATAGCTTGCTGACCCTCTGGCAAACCCACAGTCCTCCCCTGAGGAGCACACAGTTGCCCTGGCTCTTCTGGGTGTCCTAACCTCAGTTTCGTCCTGATAGGGGCAGGCGGAGATGGCCATTCTGGGTAGCACAGCTGTGACCCAAGGGTCACAGAACTCAAGATGGTGGTCAGCAGCCCTGCTGGGGGTGTGGCCTGTGCTGAGAAGAGAGAGGGGCCAGCAAGACCTCAACCACTCAAGAATCAGACCAGAAGCTGCATAAGGATGGAGCCAAGAAGTCGCTAAGACCAAGGCCAGAGAGCTGCAATGGAACCGTAAGGACTCGAGGCACAGTGTGAGGGGGCAGAGGCAAAAGACAGAGGAAACGAGATACCAGGAGGCAAGGAGAGGCAGTGGGTGGAGGAAAGCAGGTGGCAGGCGAGGGCTGGGCATGGAGACACAGCAAGGCACCCACGGAGCAGAGGCTGAGAGGAGCGACCCTGCCAGCCGTGCCACACCTGCAACTGGTCCTGGTCCTGCCTCAAGGGTGAGCCCTGCACCCTGGAGCATCTCACCACGCTCCTCCCAAGGTGAGGGTGGCTCTCAACATTATGTCCACACCCTACCCATCGGAGGCTAGGAGCGTGGCCTTATTTGGAAACGGGGTCTCTGAAGAGGCCACTGAGGACTGGGATGATGTCGGGCAGGGTTCAGTAGGAGCCCGATTCCAAGCACACTATCCTTAGGGAAGACAGCAAGGGGCACTCAGAGACACAGAGCACGGTGCTGTGTCACCATGGGGCAGAGCTCCGGGGGCCTGGAGAAGCCCAGATGGAGTTTCCTCAGAGCTCCAGAAGGGATCCTATCTACACCTTGAATCTGGACTTCTGGCCTGCAGAACTATGAGAACACAGTGCTGTTCCTTTAAGCCATCCCATTGGCGGTAATTTGTTATGGGAGCTAAGGGCACTTGAGCAAGCCTTAGCCTCTTGCAACAGGGGAAAGCACTTTCAAAAACAAAAGGGAAGGCTGGAGCCCAGGGGGTGGGGGGCTGTGACAGCAAAGGCCTGGACGGCTGGGCTCTAGATCCACCCTGGGACCTTGGCCAGTCCTTCCGTTCCCCTGCCTGGAGCTTGGTTCCCCTGTGAGAAGATGATGAGCCTCCCCACTCCTGGCCCCAGTCCAGCCTCACTGCAGGTTTTCTTAGAGAAAGTAGGAAGGGAACAGGCCAACAAGGGAGGGACTAAACCCTAAACCACTTCTTAAAACTCCTCCCCACTCTCCACTGACTTGACACAGCACCAGGATGAGATAGCTCAGCATATCCTTGCCTTCTGTTATGGTTCAGATCTAAAATGTCCCCCCAGAAGTCTATTTCAGAGGTGGGGCTGGTCAGAGGACGAGGGCCACAGGCAGTGTGGTCTGGAAGGGTGCACTCTTGTTCTCATCCCTCCATTCTCCCTGCTTCCTGGCCACCGTGATATGAGCAGCTTTCTTCCCCAAGGCCCTTCCGCAGTGCTGGTTCTGCCTTGGAGCCAGCTGACCATGGACTGAACCCTCTGAAGCTGTGAGCTAAATAAACCCCTTCTCCGTAAACCGCAGGGGTCTGGTATTTTGTCCCAGGCCTAGGGCATGGGTCCATGGGAATCATCCCCGCTGAGCCAATCTGGCACATGCGTGACTGTGCTTGTGTGGGTCACCGTGGGAGTAACTAGACCACCAGCAAGTGTGCTCGTATTTACAGCATTGGTCCTAACAGCCAGAAACCGGAAACAACTAAAGCACTCACAGGCAGAGGAAGACTTGTGACTTGTAGGAGACCCACGGTGGGATATTACACAGGTATGAAGATGAATGGACAGCAGCTGTGCACCAAGAGTTTAAATGAGCCTCAGGGGCGTCGTGGTGGACCCCAGAAGCTGGTCCCAGAAGACCACACAGGGTAAAACGACTTTTTCATGAAGTTCAAAACTGGGCAACACCAAAGAATGCATTATTTGGGGTTAAGTGTATGGGTGATGAGTTGCAAGCATAGACACAGACATGGAAGCATCACCTTAGGGTGGTGACAGCTTTGGAAGATGGGGAGGCGGGAAGCCACGACAGTGGTCTGGTTTGCAGCTTGGCTGGTGGGCCACGGGCAGCATTCGTTAGGACACTCATGCTCTAAAGTGAACAACAGTGTGGCATAAGGGAAAGATTATCATCAATCTACCGACTCTTCCTTTGTTTCTATTTTTGAGACAGGGTCTTACATGCTGTTCAGGCTGGCCTTGAACTCACTATGGAGCCCAGGTTGGCCTCGACCTCATAGTGATCCTCCTGTCTCAGCCTCCCACATTCTGGGATGACAGGTGTGTGCCACCACGCCTGATTCATTCCTCTGTTTTAAGAAAGTTGGATACCCAAGGTTCCAGGCTACTCTGGCTGCGGGGGGACAGCTCAGATGGTTCAGGAAGGGCCTTGAGCTTTGGGCGACAGGTGTGATGTGGTCATTGTCACACCCCTGTGCCTGCACCCTGCAATCCACAGGAAACTGGCCCCCGTAACAGGCAGCTTTCTCCTCCCACAGCCACGAGCTTCTCAGAGCCACCGAGCCTGCTGTTTGATTTCACAATTGTGTGCCAACCACTTAACGCAGGAAGATATTACTTATAAAAGATGATTCCTGAAAGGGAAGTTTGGGGTTTTATTATACCTCTGGGCAAGATTGGACGATCTTGGAAGAAATAAGGTTGTACCCTTTTCATCTCCCATCCACAGGACAATATTTTAGCAGTGTGCGGGGTCAGGGAGAAGGAGCCGAGGGCTGGCACCGAGTGATACACGGGCTGCAAACCAGAGTCCACTCAGCACAGAGGCCACATGGCTCGGCTGTAAGAGGAGCAAGGAGGCTGCACCTGATTGATGGCCCTGGACGCGGGCAGTGCCTCACACAGGACAGAAGCAGGCTGCAGGCAGGGAGGGGACTGGCCAGCACTGGCCAGCCAGGGCAGGGAGTGTCCGGCCCTCCACCACCCAACAGCTGCAACTCCAGCTTCCTGCACTTCTGTCCCAGCTCCTCAGTGACCTGTAGGTGACCAGGATGAATCTGCCCTTGCCTTTCCTTCTTCCCTAATCTCTCTTCTTTCAACATTAGAGTTGGGTTACTTGCTCCTTAATTTGCCCAACCCTATCCAGATCCAGGATCCTAAGTGCTGTAGGATTTTAAGAAATGGGGTCCACTCTTGCATACACCCGAGGAGGGGCCCGCATGCCAGCCCTGCCCTGGCCTGCGAAGCCCAGAGGAACCCGGCTCTGTGCACACTGTGCTCTCTCCACGCAGGCCCAGGGCTCTCCCGAGGTCACCTGGCTGTGGCACCTGCCCACACTCCAGGCCATCGGACACTTGGGCCACTCCTAGACATGGTACCCGCCGCACCTGAAAGATTCTATGACCGACTCTTTCCGATGAAGAAATTCCTGCATGAATTCTCTTCATTTGTAAAATGGCCTTGGTGAGGTCAGTGCAAAGATTAGGTGAGGTGCTGCTTTAGTGCCAGTCAGTGACAATGGTCACTGCGGCAGTCGCCAGGGGCGATGCCAGACACGGTGGCTGGAGGAAGCGAGATGACAAGCAGCCCGGCTTCCCTGCTCCCCGTCCCACCCCAGGTCCCCAGGAGGCAGCCCTGGCCCTGCTGAAACTGAACTCTGCTTCCTGTGGGCACAGCATCGCACTCATCCTGTGAAACACAGATAGCCATGAGTCCACGTCCCAGGCGACAGACAGCCCTGGGCCCTGGCCATCTTGGCAGCCCCCTGCCCAGAGATAACCAACCACACACATGATGTTGTGATGAGCAGCCATGCAGACGCTCACTGGCCGCCAGCTGGGGTGCTCTTATTGCTTGCTGGAGAGCTGCTCCAAATTGGGCGACAGCTCAGACCCAAAGAAACAGACTCCCTGGTAAGAGCTGCACTTGCTCTCTGGGACCAAAGCAATCTGTACCCACCACATGTGCTGCTGGACTCCAGGGGATGGACATTCTCACTTCCTGGGCTCACTGCCCCATCCTGCTTGGGACACCTGCTCCCAGGCAGCCCCAGCACTGCCCCACATCCTCGGGAAGCAGCTGCCTATCCTGCTCCAAACCCCAAGGACACCCAGCAGCCATGGCCCCACACCTGTGTGCAGGCTGCCTGTACGCCTTAACTAAAAGCTCCAGCTCAGAGACTCTTGGTGCGCAGAGAGCTGGTGTCTGAGTGACTTGAGGATTGCCTTCTAGGAGGGAAGGTGACTGACTGTGGCACTCCCTGTCACTCTACTATGATGCTCACTGCACTGGTTTGTGGACAGGGTGTGGCTTTGTTCATGGCATGAGCTCCTTGGGACCAGGGACTGCGTCCTGTCTGCCATGGAATCCCTGTGGCCTAAGCCACAGTTTGGAGCAAAGCAGGTCCTGAGGTCATGCTCGTGGATGAGGTAGAGAATGGAAGGATGGATGGATGGATGGGTGGGTGGGGGGACAGGTGGATGGGTGGATGGATGGACAAATGGATGGTCGGACAGATGGATGGGATGGATGGACATGTGGCTGCACATATAAAGGGGTGGGTGAAAGGATGGAAAGAAGGAAAAGAGAAAGAAGGAGAAGAGAAGGAAGGAAGAAAAAGCAATGGGTAGGTAGGTGAATGGATAGCAGCTCATAGCTACCACAGAATGAAGCCACCACCTGGGAAGGGCCGCCTTCTGCACCCTCCCTTCACCTTGTTCTCTCACAGCTTCCCTGCACCTGGCAGGGACCTGCCTCATCCTGTCCCTCTGGGGAACCCAGCTGGAGCATGTCACATGGCGTTTGCCAGGCAGCACGGGGGGAGGCAGATTGCGTAGAGCACTTTCTCTAGGAAGTCTTTCTGGAGAAGCCAAAGTGAAGGCTGGCAAACTGACCGTGGGCCAAGTCCAGTCTGCTGCCTGTATTTGTAAATAAAATTTTACGGGAACGCAGCCATAGCCATTTGTTTTCACATTGTCTCTGGCTGCTTTTGTGCTACCACAGCAGAGTCGAGTTGTTGCAACAGAGGCCGTATGGACAGCAAAGCCTGAAAAATTTACGAGCTGGCACTGTGCAGGAAGGGCTGCTGATGCCCGGGACAGGACCCATCTTGCAGAAGGCTCGCCCGACTGCTGTGTCTGACACAGGCCACCTCACTTAATTTTTTTCTATGTCTTTTTACAATTTTGGTACTGAGAATTGAACCCAAGCCTTCACTGAGCTATATCCCCAGCGCTTTCACATGTTTTTATTTTAAGACAAAGTCTCACTAAGTCATTAAGTTGCCTAGGTTGGCCTCGAACTTATGATCCTCCTGCCTCAGCCTCCCAGAGTACTGGGTCTTTCCTTGGGGGGGAGGTGTTACCAAAGATTGTTTGTTGCTGTGACTTCCACTGAAAGCTATTAATAAGCTCCATGATTGCCAATGGCAGCTGCAGACAGGTGCCTGTCCCTCTATGCAGAGAACCACCTGCCCAGTCATGGCCAGACTGCCAGGAAAATGGATCTTTTATTTTTTAAGAGCCGTATTGAGATGTGGTTCACACATGATGCAATTGGCCCATTGTTAGCACACAAAGGACAGGGCCGAGAATCTTACTATATGCCCAGAGTCACACAGTCACTACTATAGTAAATTGTGGAATATTTTAACAGAATTTCCAAAATTGTTTACTTACATTAAAACTTATTTTCGAAAACACACGTAACATAGATTGACTATTTTAGCCACTTTGAAGCGTAAAGCTCAGGGGCACTAAGCACATTTGCATGGTTGGGCAGCCATCACTGCTGTGGCTTTGTGTCCTCCTTTGTTTCATGGCGCTTACGTCTACCTGAAAGTCACTTTGCATATATGTTTTCTTCCTGGTTGCTCTTGTCCCCCGTGGGAGCTCCACGAGGGAGGACCTCACCTCTCTCACTACTCAGCCCAGACACTTGGAAGAACGGTGGGGACGTGGCAAATGCTCTGTAAATATTCGAATAAACGAATGAATGAACGAGTATGAGCAGCGCACCGAGTCCCACAGCAGGCTTTCTGGAGGGCTCAGCAAAATGCCTGGCAGACAGGCGCTCGGCCCACCGGAACTGGACCAGTGCTCTGCGCACATCCCTGGCACCAGTGAGAAGCCTTCATCCCTCGGTAAACAGCACGAATCTGTAAGGACCACTGTCATCTCCCTTGGAGCGCGGGGCTCCTACTTCCACATTCTTCCATCTGGAACCTAGGAGCGCTGGGCGCTAGCTGGGTACCTGTCTAATCACCTTCTTAACCACTGGGACAAAATTCTGGACACCTGCAAATTAAAGGAAAGGTTCATTTTGATTCACATTTCCGTCCGTAATCAGCTGGCTCCAAGGCTGAGAGAGGCCTGGGGAGGAACCCGGGAGGGAGATGAACCTTTCCAGACCAAGCCCCTCAACCTCCGCTGGTCCAACCAGACCCCTCCTTCCTTCTAGGCCACACCCCCATAACTTCTGGTCCAACCAGGCCCCGCCTCCTAACAAGTCAGCTGAGTCTTTGTAATCCAATCACCTTCCAGAAAACCCCACTGTGAGCTCAAAGAGACTTTGGAGGTCATCTAGATAGAAATCAGAACAGTACCTACGCAGGGGTGACTCGGGTGGAACCAACAGGCTGCCTGAAATCTGGAAAGTGGCACCCGCATTCCTGTATTAGTCAAGAGTTCTCCAGTGACACTGAACCAATAGGTGATCTAGCTTTCTTTCTTTCTATCTGCCTGCCTGCCTATCTACTTATTGGGGTGGGGTTAAAGATTTGGCTCGCATTGATTGCAGGGGCCAGAGAATCCAAATGCCTGGGCAGAGGGCTGGAAACTTGGGCAGGGTTTCTAGCTGCAGTCTTGAGGCACAACTCCCCACTCTATGAGAAACCTCAAGAGTTGCTGTCAGGGCTCTCACCACCTGGGTGAGGCCCACCCACATTAGGGAGGGTTGTCTGCTTCACTCTGTTTACTGACTTAAATTTTAATCACCTCTACCCAATGCCTTCCCAGCAGCAACTGGGCTGGTGACTGACCCACATCCAGGACCAGGGCTTGGTCAAGCTGGCACAGGAAGGGAGCCCTCATGACCCCAGGTGCACCTGGGAGCTGTCACCCAAAAGAAGACATGGGGGAGGCCTCTATTCTTGAGATCCTCGGGACACACACAGGGACTTGAGAGGATAGGAGGGCAGCAGTGAGAAGAGCTGTCCACTGCCAACGCCTGCAGTTGGCTCTGCGGACTTTGTGGATGACGCCTGGTGCTTCTAGGATGAGGTCCTCAGCCATCCTGCCTTTCAGAACACCACGGGAAATGCACAAAGAACCTGCTGTAGTCGCTTCCCTTCACTGGAACGTGATACCAGATGCCCCCAACTTAAAGGAGGAGGGGCCTATTTATTAGTCTGTGGTTGGCTGACTCCCAGACAGGACAGGGTGGCACAGGGGCCTGATGGAGAACAGCTGCTCCCCTCATGGGGGCCAGGAAGCAGAGTCAAGGCCGGGGAGGGAGCTAGAGCCTTCCAGGCCACACCCCCTGATCCTCCTCTCTGACCTGACCCCACTCCTAACAGCAGCCAGCTATGTCATCCCCATTGTTCAATCACCTTCCAAAAGCCCAGGA